TCGCCGCAACCGGTCAATGATTGAATCAATACATTTACCCAAACCGATCAAATTGCCAATGTAATTGTGATTATTCTGTTTTTTGCTTCTGTACCATTTTGTTTTAATGCTATTACTGTTATATTACTATCGCTAGTATTCTTCGTCTTACCATTATTACTGTTATAATGGCTTCGACATCAAGGATTTAAGGAATTAAGGCTGCAAAAACTCCGGGTTTTTATCTGTCCCGGAACCCCAAGTGAACTTGACCCGGGAAGGCATTTCCGACACGAATTCGGGGCTTGAAAGACGTGCCACTTCCAAGCCACACTTTTCCAAGCCCTACAAAAGCCCCAAGCTCTGCTTGCAAAAACAGCTTAGCGTTTAGGGGCTTAGGGTTTGAGGGTTTAGGGATATTTCTATATATAATAATAATATTAATTATTATTATTATTATCATTATTATTTATATATATGTATATAAGCTTACTCCCTGAAGGTTGAAAGCCGAGGGCATCCTAAGCCTCGGCGCCATCCTGAAGAAGTCTCGGACGCTCGTGGTGGTCTGGGACCCATCCTATCTCTCCAGGCCAGGTTAGATACATTTTAGGGTTTAGGGGTTTAGGGTTTAGGGGTTTAGGGGTTTAGGGTTTAGGGGTTTAGGGTTTAGGGAAGGTCGGGGCATCAGGGTCCGACCTCAAGCCGGCCGATGGAAGGAGAGCTTCTAGAACTGACACTTTCCGCCACGAGCCGGAGAAGAAACACAACAACAAGCCTTCCCTGGCTTGCCGAAAAGATTTCCCTACAGCAGGGAGTTTGGGGCTCGGGGAAGTTCGGAACCAGATTTCGTGGAATTGGGTTTTAAGCTGCCAGCAAAGGCCTTTCGTAGACGCCCTAGGTCAGAGTTTTGGGCCTACATCTTGAGCATTTTAAAGTCCTGTTCACCGACGCCCGAAACAGACTCGTACTCAAAGCTCCCCTCCTCCATCGAATGGAAAGCCAACAGCGACGGCAGCCTACAAGAACGCTTGAACCTTGAATCCAAATCTGTCTCCTTTATCCAGAGGTCTTTGAAGTGCTAATCTTTCAACCCATAAGTCGTAAGTTCAACCAGAATCCCAGAGGTCTTTCTCAAGTTTGCGAGTCCTAGGCTTCAGGAAAGGCGGGTTGAGGTCGGAGCCAGGGGAGTTGACGTCGTCGGAGGCTATGGTGTGTGTTCGAGCTTGCTGCGTTTCTCCATGCTCATCGTGAAGACGCTCAGACCGGCTTGGTTATCAAGCCCACAGTCTTGGTACCCATGACCTTCCTCATGGTGATGACCACTGCGATCATACTTCTTTTTGAGACCTGTCTTCCTGATACAGATGAGGTTGCCTTCCTGCGGATACTCCTGTTTGTCTTGTCTCAGTTTCCCAACATCTGGCTAATTCAGAGACTCTGGCGAATTGTCATGGAGGCGGAGAATCAATTTGGCACCTTCAGCTTTCAGAAGGTCACGTGCTACTGCTGTTCCTCAAATCACCAGGATTTACGAGGCAACACCATTCCTTGCGATAAGGAGCCTTGGCCTTGGCTAGCTCTGTCTTCAAGGTTCGGCTGTTCTCTACGGGAAAAGAGACTTAGGCTTAGACTTGTCCTGCATGCTTTTACCCAAGGAGATTCTCGAAGGTTGCATCGTTGAGTGGTACGGTTCTGTGAAAGAGCTGGAGCTCAGCGTCCGCACCAAAGTGCGTGACTCCTTCATTGAGCAGGTGACGCGCTTCCCCATGGGGTATCAGTGGATGGTTACTTGATTGAGGATGGTAGTAGGGGTAGCAGGTGTTGTAGTAGAAGAACAAGAAGTAGTAACAGCAACAAGTTCACGGAATAGCAGTTGTCGCCTCCACCTTCGTCCTCCTCAAGATCCGCCGGCTGCTGCTGCCACTACTACTACTAGTACTACTACTACTACTACTACTACTACTGCTGATACTGCAGCTGCAACTGCTGCGGCTACTGCCATTACTACTACTGCCGCTGCTGCCACTCCCATTTCTTTTGTCACTGCTGCTGGTACGACTCTACTACTACTACTACTACTACTACTACTCCTACTACTCCTGCTGCTGCTGCTGCTGCTGCTGCTACTACTACTACTACTACTATTCCTGCTCCTCCTCCTCCTCTTCCTACCGCCGGTGCTACTACTATTGCAATTCGTACTAATGCCGTACCACTACCGCTTCCTTTGCCACTGCTGCTGCTGCTGGTACTACTTCTACTACT